CCCCCCTCCCACCCCTTGTGATGGACATTCTGAAGATAAGACCCCCAAATCATTACTATATATGTAGGTTGAAATATTTCATTTTGTCTTAATATGTGACCAATGCTAAAGATTTTATTCCGCAACTCAGTAGGAAGATAGGTTCTATCTTGGATTAAAGGATCTAGATAGTATGTCTTTACTCACAGGGTAGACTATCCACTACGGACCATTTACTAGTATAAGTATGAACAAAATCAAACTATCAACTCACTCAGGTTCTTTTTGTAATAACAGGGACATTGACCTATTACCAGAGGCCATCTTTGATTTTGAGATCCTTAACTTACGGCCTTTTTTTGCATGGTATCCACCAAATACCATTTTAACAGACAACTTTGACAGTATATCCCCTGTTCTATTTTTAGTTACAGTGACCACGACCTTGATTTTAGGAATTTTTGAAACCCAAGTTTTGACTTCTGTTTATTAAAGGAGGTTCTGGAAATGGATGTTTGGACTGACAGAAAGATGGACAGACAGACGGACGGATGGACGAATTGACAGACCAATAATGTGATTACTATAGGGCAACCATATGTGGCACTCTAATAAAGATTTTACCTGAACTCGTAAACATCGATCCAGAAGTCCCCACTCCGCATGTTTGTCAAATATACAGGTGACACGATCTGGGTCCTCAGGATGTCTGCAAGCAAAATTCTCAAAATTATGACAACATGCACACATGAAGTATACCAAAGGTATATTAAGGAGGCAAATTAAAACTGAGAGGTAAAGGCCTGAATACAGGGTGTGTGTGTGTGGGGGGGGGGGCTTTATCAGGAATCAGGCAATTGTTGTGCGCTATTGAATGTTGTAAGCTATTTAGTATTCTAGCAACCATTAGATAGTAGATTTATTCCCCAGAACTGTCTAACTGCTTAAAAACATATCTATTTGCCCTGAATGAATCAAATTATTTAAAACAATACAAAAACAAACCAAAACGTCAAATCACTTAAGTGGGATCAAACTCACAGGGATCCATGGATATATACAGTCCTTTTTTATGGCCAATTATAGGCCAATCCCCTCTCCAATTTTGGCATTATTTCCCCCCTTTTCAGCTTTATTTCCCCCTATTCCAGTTCAATCTAAAACACTGACAGGTCAGTAAGGGCCCCATCTTGTGGCAATATATCCCCCATAATCATCAAGAAGTAATCTGCCCATATAGCTGAGCTTGACTTTTGCTATTTGGACTTCAAAAAGAATCGCAAGGAAGCAAAATATACATTTTACATGTACTATGATGCGAGTCTTGTTTCCTTCCACCTCCATATTTGCTTCCGGGCTAACAGAAATGTAAATACCGGTGCAATACTCATTTGTTAGCTTTGATTTGTTTTATTTCACCTTATATACCTCCTCAATCAAGAGCCAGGGTCAAAGTCAGAGATCCACTTTGTCTTTGACCTTTGGACCCAAATGACCTTGACCATTAACCCAGCGACCCTGATCTTTGGTCAGTTGACTTATTCTTTAATTCCGACCAACTTTGCTTCATAATATCATAACAAAATGTTCATCAGTGAAAAATACAAAACTTGACCTTGACCCCGTAACCTGGACCTAAGGTCAGTTGACTCTGTGTTAAGTTCTGAACAACATTGCTTCATAATGTCATAACAAAATGTTCATCAGGGAAAAGGTACAACATTTAACCTTCACCTTTGACCCAGTGACCTTGACCTTTTGTCAATTGACTCCTTGTTTAATTCTGAGCTACATTACTTCAAAGTGTCATAGCGAAATGTTCACCAGTGAAAAGATACAAAATTTAACCTTGCCCTTTGACCCAATGACCTTGACCTTTGGTCAGTTGACTCTTTGTTTAATTCTGATCTACTTTGCTTCATCATGTCTTAACAAAATTTTCATCAGTGAAAAGATGCAAAATTTGACCTTGACCTTTCAACCTAATGACTTTGACATTTGACCTTGACTTTTTACCTCAGTGTGTCATTTTGTTTAATTCCGAACAACTTTGCTCCATAATGTCATAGTGAAATGTTCACCAGTGAAAAGCTACAAAATTTAACATTGACCCCTGACCCGATGACCTTGACCTTTGGTCAGTTGACTCCTTGTTTAATTCTGATCAACTTTGCTTCATAATGTCATAACAAAATGTTCATCAGAGAAAAGATGTAAAATTTGACCTTGACCTTTGAACCTAATGACCTTGACCTTTGACCTCGACTCTTTACCTCAATGTGAATTTTTGTGAACTGAACATCTTGACCAAGTTTCATGTACATTGGTCAATAAATACTAAAGTTATCAGCCAGAAACAAAATTTGTGGACGGACAGACAGACAGACAGACAGACAGACAGACAGACAGACATTCCTATAGGGCACCCGTATCTCCGATACGGGGCCCTAAAAAACACCACTTGTTATTAAAATACTACCACATGACTATCTGTCTTGGTTCCACTTTGTTTTTATTTTCCGTCAGTTCCATGACTGAGTGATTTATTTCATTTCCCTGTGCTTAGGTTAATTGTCACTGCTGATATTTTACATCACTGTTTACAGCTTGCCCTGTTTACAGTTTACAATATATTAACAGTCACACAAATGCTTTATTCTAATGCATATCTGGTGGTCAATTCAAAGCTTCTATAATGAACAGCAAGAAACAAAAATTAAAGTCATCTGTGCCCCTCTCTCGTACTGCCCCCCTGGCTCTGGCCTGCAGCCCTCGCTGGACAGGTAATGCACCTACAGCTTACAACTGTGAGGGTAACCTACCCCTGGGTCCATCCAAAGGACTATGATGATGGTGTGATGGACCGCAGGTCTACCCTGACAAGGGGAATAACTCCCCCTCTGAAGGTAATGGTGTGGTAGCGGGATACAATTGCATACAATGGCCATGGGTGATATTTGTGTACAAAGAAAATTACATGTACATGTATCAAATTTTAGAAATATCAGCACTTAAATACATGAAGTAGTGGACTTTTTGGGCTTATAATTTTTCATGAAAAGAGGGGTGCATTTGGTTTAAGACTAAAGTTTTGGCCATTTACAAATCTGTGTCAACTTATAACAGAAGCTAGCTTTCATGTAGCCAATTTTTTTACATGGCCCATGTGTAAATATTGTGAAAAATCCTCTGGATAAACCTAAGCTTAAACCTGAGTATTTCTGCTACCAATATTTAATTTAAGACAGGTTTTAAGAAAATAATTCCTATTTGCGAGGTTCAAATTTTGGGTTAAAAATCATGGGTTTTTTTCAGGTTTTTTTGCATTTTTTTATGTGGTAGCCATGGTTTTCAAAACCTCCTGTCAAAAATCATTTTTCTAAAAACAAATGAATTCATAATAAAGTGTATGACTATAGATATATATATATGTAGGTGTGTTGTGTATGCCTATATATATATATATATGTAGGTGCGTTGTGTATGACTATAGATATATATATACGTAGGTGTGTTGTGTATGACTATATATATATATGTAGGTGTGTTGTGTATGCCTATATATATATATATATGTAGGTGGGTTGTGTATGACTATAGATATATATCTATGTAGGTGTGTTGTGTATGACTATATATATATATATAGGTAGGTGTGTTGTGTATGACTATAGATCTATATATATGTAGGTGTGTTGTGTATGGCTATATATATATATATATGTAGGTGGGTTGTGTATGACTATAGATATATATCTATGTAGGTGTGTTGTGTATGACTATAGATATATATCTATGTAGGTGTGTTGTGTATGACTATAGCTATATATATATGTAGGTGTGTTGTGTATGCCTATATATATATATATATGTAGGTGCGTTGTGTATGACTATAGATATATATCTATGTAGGTGTGTTGTGTATGACTATATATATATATATGTGGGTGTGTTGTGTATGACTATATATATATATGTAGGTGTGTTGCGTATGACTATAGATATATATATATATGTATGGGTGTTGTGTATGAGTATAGATATATATATATATATAGGTGTGGTGTGTGACTATATATATATATATATATGTGGGTGTGTTGTGTGTGACTATAGATATATATATATGTAGGTGCGTTGTGTATGACTATAGATATATATATACGTAGGTGTGTTGTGTATGACTATATATATATATATAGGTAGGTGTGTTGTGTATGACTATAGCTATATATATATGTAGGTGTGTTGTGTATGAATATAGATATATATCTATATATGTAGGTGTGTTGTGTATGTATATAGATATATATATATGGGGGTGTGGTGTGTATGACTATATATATATATATAGGTAGGTGTGTTGTGTATGACTATAGATCTATATATATGTAGGTGTGTTGTGTATGCCTATATATATATATATATGTAGGTGGGTTGTGTATGACTATAGATATATATATATATATATGTGTTGTGTATATCTATATATATATATATGTAGGTGTGTTTTGTATGACTATAGATATATATAGATGTAGGTGTGTTTTGTATGACTATAGATATATATAGATGTAGGTGTGTTTTGTATGACTATATATATATATATATATATGTAGGTGTGTGGTGTATGACTATAGATATATATATACGTAGGTGTGTTGTGTATGACTATATATATATATGTAGGTGTGTTGTGTATGTATATAGATATATATATATGGGGGTGTGGTGTGTATGACTATATATATATATATATGTAGGGGTGTTGTGCAGGATGAATCCACTATCCATGTTTATCCAAGACATGCGCTTTATATGAATTCATAATAAAGTGTATGACTATATATATATATATAGGTAGGTGTGTTGTGTATGACTATAGATCTATATATATGTAGGTGTGTTGTGTATGGCTATATATATATATATATGTAGGTGTGGTGTGTATGACTATAGATATATATATATATGTAGGTGTGTTGTGCAGGATGAATTCACTATCCATGTTTATCCAAGACATGCGCTTTATATGAATTCATAATAAAGTGTATGACTATAGATATATATTTATGTAGGTGTGTTGTGTATGACTATAGATATATATCTATGTAGGTGTGTTGTGTATGACTATATATATATATGTAGGTGTGTTGCGTATGACTATAGATATATATATATATATGTGGGTGTGTTGTGTATGTCTATATATATATATATATGTAAGTGTGTTGTGTATGACTATAGATATATATCTATGTAGGTGTGTTGTGTATGACTATAGCTATATATATATGTAGGTGTGTTGTGCAGGATGAATCCACTATCCATGTTTATCCAAGACATGCGCTTTATTTTAAGGACCAGTCATTTCTACTAAACACTGCCACCTGTGATGGATTGTGGGTCTACCCAGACAAGGGGAATAACTTACCCTCTGAACGTGATAGCATGGTGGACCCGCATGCCTTCATCATACACTATACACGTCCTACAAAAATTAACAAATATAACATCTCGTTTTATCACTGTATGTTATATACTGTTGTTTCAATTAATTATTTCAAATCTGAATTTTAAACCGATCTCAAGAACAGAATAAATCATCATAGTCAAGTTAAATAGGAAACAAAGGAATATTCATTCCAAGGTTTCACAGGGCAGATATTAGCAGATTCCTGATTTCAACACTTATATGTCAACCAGTACTTGTGTTTGGAATATCCCTATCGTACACTGACACAATTTTCTCTCAAATCTCAGACAGATATGTTGAAAAATCTTCAACAGCTTATGAGGCACTACTGAATTGGAAAGATTCTTGGCTTACTTGTTTGGTGGGACGGCTAGTGAGGTGTCAGCAATCAGCTGATCGATGACCGCGTCAAACTTGTGCTGTATGATGTACTCCTCCTCGACCCCATCCTCGTACTCGTACATTATCGTGTACTCTTTTGGTTTGTTCTCCTCTGTGACAAATGGCATACCTGGCCTAAAAGTCAGAAAAAACACCTCTTTTATAATATTACTTTTATGTATTCATTAAATATGTGATAACTGTAAACCTCCGGTCAGTTCAAATAAGCAGATAATTCGAGCACTCTTTGAACAATAAAAACAATAATTTTCTGTCTAGTGATTGTTTGAACCCTCCTTACCCCATTTCGGATTGTTGGAACATACAATTTGAGTACTGAAATCACCTACTTATTGATCAATGTTGGCTATTGGCGATACAATACTAGCCTCGCAAAACTCGCTTCAACTAATCTATTTTCAAATCGACGGCATTTAATAACAGAGTAACGGGTAGTACTCTTGAAGCGCGACCATTGTCTATGCCAGACAATTTGTACATAAATAGGCAACATGTTAGCGATGATTGAGTTTCTTTCTTGTACACATGTGCATGCCTCACTTAAACGTTTTTAGGCCCCAACCATGTATAACATCCTATTTTACGGAGCGAGAAATGTTACCATCAGAACGATGACAGACCTGTGTGTATTGTCATGTTGTTACAGTGATTACAATTTGATTATATAATCTGGGTACCGATCCTTGATTAATTACTTAATTGATATGATACCTGTGTATGTGGCAAAAAAAATAAAATGACCAGGTGGTCGATCGAACTATTAATACATATTTATACAAATAACACAAAGTCCAAGTAAGATCAAGATTGTATTGTTCGTTTCATTTGTTTCAAATACAAAAGCTACTATATATATATTTACTAAAACAGTTATAATCTTTGGCAATCTTAGGGGCTACTCTGCATGTTTGTTTCGATTCTAGAAAGACAGTTTCTAGATGAATGCAATTTTTATAGTAGACATGGACACTGGGGAAAGCCCAGTATGTCTATGGTTGTATGAAGTACCTGTGGACAGGTGAGCCTGACAGGTATATATATAGATTAATATTTGCATTGTTACTTAATACAATAAGTATAAATATGAAAAGTGTAACTGTAATCACTATATCTGAATTGGGGTAAAAATTCAAAAATGTTGAATTTATAAGGCCATTGCATTTAAAGGTTAAGAAACAAACATACAGTATAGTCCAAACATTAGTAATGATATTGAAACATGTATCATGCCATCATCTATTTAGTATTCATATGTAGCCACATAAGTGTAAAGTACATTTCCTTGTGTAAAATATTGATTTACATCCTTCTGGGTTCCATATCATCGTTAAATATGACAGAAGAAAGCTTCAGAAAATTGAATAAAATATCACTGCAATAATACAAACATCTTACTACCTATGCATGCATATGTAATTATTCTAATCAATTTAACTCATTCACCAGAACAACTTGTCTTTAATCGTAAGTTACTGTGAGTATAAATATACAAAGCTTTGTTGGGAAACTGTGTATGCGATAAAACATCTCTGTAATATGCAAGCTTAAGATCAATCCCCTTCAGGAAAACTTAATTAATTGAACCTTGGATCTGATCTGGGATATGGATGTATGAATATTACTTCTGGACCTGTGGGTTGAACAGCAGGTCTATCAGATGGAGGCTACTGAATAGGAATGTAAAATAGACCCAAGTGATGCCACCTCAGGTTTGACACAATGAAATAATTGAACTGATGACACTGACACTGCACATAAAAAACATCAGGTAGAGCTAGTAGCTTAGAAAAAAAAAAAAAAAAAAAAAATTGGCACTGAACCTGTGATATACACAGGAAAGAAAGCCGGGCTAACTATCAACCGTATTAGCTAAATGGAACCTGTGGTGAAGACAGCAGGTAGGTATGCTCTATAAAAATGACCCAGGTGAAAACCGTGGATCTGAAAGGCAGAAAACGCCACTGAACCTGTGATGTAAACAGCAGGCTAGACGGCTGATTAGATCTGCGAGTATATAATACTTAACGAATATACAGTAACAGGCACACTAAGTACTAAACTGATAAACCACTAAGTTGACGTTGAGTAGCAGCATCTCAAGTCCTGAGCATGATCATGAGTATAAACAAAATAAACAAGACTTTGAAGGAAAGAGCTTTGCCACTGAACCTGTGGAGATAACAGCAGGCAAGACGGCATGAGAGATCAAATTGGGAGTATACCACATTAAAACAATACTACTTAGGCAAACAATATTTTACTCTGGTATACGTATCCTATTAACTTGACATTGAGGAACCTCATCCAAGATGTAATGGGTACCAAACATATTATAACAAGAACTCGTGATATTAAAATAGAATTCTTAATGAATTGACTAAGTGAAACATATGGATCCTAATTACTAAATAACTATAGTATACCACTGAACCTGTGAACGACAAGCAGGTTAGACGGTATAATTGATAACATGTAGGATTAAAAAAAAAACTTAAGTAAAAAATACGCAAAGATGCACACATTGTATGGTAATCTGAAACAATTGTCTTTGATTACCATGGATATACAAAAATTAATGACGATAGAGTATGATTATAGCTGACCTATAATTACATGAACACATTGTCTTCTACATGGAGATGAAACGGGGCTGGAGGGAGGGTCGTCAATATTGAGATGAAAATTACCGCCAGCCTCCACAATCTCTTTGTGTAAACTGATGCTTATAGCGTCACCTAACTAACTGACCATTGGTCATTAATGTCACGTGATATCTATAAATAATTAGTATGATGACCTCATCTCTAGCCTTATGCAACTAATCACGTGGTAATCAAGTAATGACATACTCAACTTAAAATTAAATTGATCTTGTGATTTAAAACATACTTTCCCTTTATAAATTCACATCATCTAGCTCTACTACTAGAATACATAAAAAATACAAAGTATATGTTAACAACATCAACACACCACATTTAATACATTTGTAATACAGTAATGAACTAACAATTTTTTAACAAATTATGCATCCTAACTCTGGAGGTCCAGGAGATAGAATACCTTAGATATGCATTTGTATAAACTTAAATTAAATAAATTCAAATTTTGCAGTTTCAATCCATCTTCCGCATTTTGATACATTACAATTGAACTTCTGTTAATACTCCAGAAAACATCACTGCTTTACAGCCTACATACTTGTATCTGCTTTGCGTTTAAGTGCAAATTGAATTTGACAATCGATTATTAATATGTAAGTTAATATATGAAAGACATAGATGTACCATTATTCATCTCCAGATTTACAAATATATCGTAATCGGCCGTCGGTGTTCCGTATCAACGACTTGACTGTCTGCCGTGATTTTTGCAGATGTCGACTCTGATAGTTCAAACTACTCTTTATTTTAGTGGCTATAATTTCGTGTAATTTGAATAAGATTGACAATATCTAATTGATTTTGTTTGATCTGTAACTAAATAACAGCAAACACAAAAATCAAAATTTATTTTAATTTTGCCTCTTCAATTTTAGAGTCAAAACATTTATGCTTTTCTAAAAATCTTCATGGCTAACATTTATAATTTGGGAACAGATCAACACATTATTGCTATACCCAAAACATTGTGGGACGATGAGAAGGCACTACAGTCAATTGAGACTTGTAACAGAGACTTATATCTTCCTTTGTATTCTATGAATCAGCATTCCTCTTTTAACACTAAAAGAGGTACAAGTCTGTGTATGCAACCATCACAGTTAATCAAAATTATATATAACCTTTCCAAAAAATGTTAATTGATTATAATTTTACCCAATTAAATTTATGCCCAACTAAAATCTACTTTGTTCAAAAACTGGATTATACTCGGGAATATACTTTCAAGATTGGATACAAATCATTAGTTACATAACTTGTTTAATATACTGTATGCTTGTTATAAATAAATATTTCTTAAATGTTGACAGACAGTGTATGCTGCAATCGTTTTGTTGATCTAGAATGACTACTTTTTAAATGCAAAATTTTCAAAGATTAAGTCTGGCAAACATTTAAATGTTAACTCATCCACCCCTACATATTTAAACTGGACTTGCCCAATCTTTGATTTGGTATGGTTCAAACGTGACTTTGGGGGTGAATGGTTAACACGCTCTGAAAGTTTTACCAAGGCTCACCAGAAAACAACACCAGACCTCTAGGTTTGTACCTACCTGATCATAAACAGACAATTCTGGTCTGAATTATCAAACTTTCTCGGATATAATAAATGAATTTTACAAGCCATGAAGCAATCTTATGCAATGCAGTTCAGTTGAAAGTTTCTCAGTTTTAAGATATCTCAATTTCTAAATTCAAAATTGATTCTTACTTTGGCGGCATATCATTGACTTCTTCATACGGACATGATTCCTCCAAGGCTAGCTCTGTCTGGTAGCTGAAGCAGTTCCAGTACGGCTGCAGAACTTTGATCACATTCAAAATAGTCGTTGTTATACTGTAAAGTCCAACAACTTCCACTTCAGTACAATAGTTGACAGTAGCCAACACAAAATAATCCTTAGAAGAAATAAACCTCCCAGTTTTCAATTAGATCAAAGTGCCCAAGGCACTGGAGGATTGGCAGCATGAATGTGTGTTTCTTTTTCTATAGATTTTATTCTGAATGTGTAGGCTTCATAATGGTGTCCCTATGCATGTATGTGGAGTGAAATAAAACACAACTAGGCCTGTCTTGCTCTTGTTACAAAAGCAACATTAATTTTTGTTTTATATTTTACTTTATGACTGTATACATAATATAACCAAGTAATAGCATGCATAAACAGACGTACAATGCATCAACAATGTCTTCTTTTTTCTACACACTACATATTCTATACTTTGATTTAACTATGATACGGTTTTATCTGGTATGGTTGTAACATGGTAAACATTATCAAATTGATACTCTTAACATTTATGATAAGTTTCATTATGATGTAACATAATTACTTTTGAAAAGTGTACCAGTCATAGCTTGACAAAGGGACGAGTCGGTCTTGAAACGTGGCGACACATTTCATATGTACAATGTTTGTGTAAATTGTAAAACTTTGATATCAAGTATACATACACAATGTGTAGTAGCATGATCCTAACTGTTATACTTAGACCATAACTGACCAGTACACACAAAAACTTGACCAGATGGGCAAATGGATGGACAAGGGAACCACTACATGTCCTGCACCATTTCACGACAGGGCAAAATAATGTATAACCATAATGTAGTACAGAAAGTCAATAATGTAGTACAGAAAGTCAATAATGTACTTTTGAAATGTGAAAATGAAAATTTGTCTATTAGTGTCTTATTACAAGGTTATAATACACACCTGTGGCTTGGGTCCCCCATGGCAGGTAAGGCAGGACAGGGGTCACCCAGCAGACTTCTCAGTGTTAGAGCCACAGCCTCAGACAGAGACTTGATACAGTACCCGCCCTGTGACATCACATACTCAACATCACTTAGCATACATGTCACATTTAGGCAAAAAAACAGGACATAATATCATATCAGGATGAATTTAAAACTAAATCAGATGTTCAGTTCTGTAGCACCAAAATAAAATCCTATAAATTAAATTGAATATAATGATCTTCTTTTTAAAGTTTGGCAAAATGATTACTGTCCAGTACCAATAAGCACACTATCTTAAAGTTTGTTTCTAGCACAAATGGCAGGATTGTATGACAGTAGGGTATTTTTGAACAGAAAAAGTTTAATATTCCCCCTACAACACTGACTGGATACTAGAACAACTGGATTAGTTAGGGGTAAGACTGACTGGATACTAGAACAACTGGATTAGTTAGTAGTAACACTGACTGGATACTAGAACCACTGGATTAGTTAGTGGTAACACTGACTGGATACTAGAACAACTGGATTAGTTAGTGGTAACACTGACTGGATACTAGAATTACTGGATTAGTTAGTGGTAACACTGACTGGATACTAGAACAACTGGATTAGTTAGTGGTAACACTGACTGGATACTAGAACAACTGGATTATTAGAGGTGGCTTGATTACTGAGGTTAGACTGTAATGTAGCTTTACTTCAATTAACTCTCACCTTGTGTGTTAATGTTACTAATTATTATGTGAATTCCACTTATCAGTAGCCGATGGCATAAATAATATTCAATTATTCTAAGATTTTTTTATATTTTTTTTTTAAATGTCTGTAACCGTTAAATGGAATAATAATGCAACAGGTACTGCAACAATGAATTTCCAATGAATTCTGTGAAACATTCTAATTAGCTCAACAAATCCTGTAAGCATACCTCCAAACATATACAAACACGCCCCTCAGCCAATGACATCAGCATATGGGTCATGTGGGCGTATGTCACTGGACTCACAAGCATCTCACCCTGTCAATCAAACAAGAAACATTTTAGAACGTTGATGTAAGAGGCCAAATAGGCTTGCATAGCTTATCCCTCTGACACAAAGCAATTCAGATTATAATCATCAACGGTTAAGATATTATTTAATTGAAATCATTATATATGCATTACGATACATTTTAAACACTTAAATATTACCACTTAAAGGTACCATGCCGCTAATTAACCTTCACTATTTCTCTTATCAAGAAGATAAATCTGGCATTTCTTATATTTCTTACAAAGGAAATGTTATCAACTTTCTTTTAATACCACAATCAGGAAATGAGACATGTCAAAGATATAAAAATTAAAAGAAATTTAATTTATCTATTTTCTTACGTGCTGTAAAACATTAGATATTTTACATAATGTTAAGCATGCGTAGACATGTACAATGTGATGGCGATGTCCATGCTAAAATGTGGTCCACCAAGCAGGTGGACAGAATCAGTGAGAAAAAGGTAAAAGCTAGCTGGAAGCCACCAACAGTGCAATGAAGTGAAAGTATACGTCAGTGCAGCCTTAGACCAATGGAAATCACTTAAGGAGGAAAAAAGTGTTGATCTACCACTTAGAATTGCGAGGCTTTTACTTGACAGGTGAGTGCTGATTGAGCTGATATAAAACTCAGCATGTTTATTGTGTTTACCTCTGACCAAGGCAAAGATATAGTCGCTACTCATTAGATTTTGCTTTTGTGACATCTTGTGTGTTCGCGTATGACAATGGCGTTAACGCGGTCTCAACCCTGCTTCTGGTGAGATAAGTAGTCATCAGGAAAGGCTTCACACGCTTATATTTGACATAAATATAAGTCAATGGATTTTTTTTTATATTTTCCAAACAAATTTTACTTATAGTTATAATGGAATTTTATGACTGCAATTTTAACCACAGTTTTTCAGACAGATTGCGGCACGGTAACTTTAGAATTTATGTTAAATGTTGAGATAGTTTTTTAATATAGTTCAAATAATATTTAGATTTCTGAGTCCTTAGCATGTCTTGCATCCAAATAACTAATGACCAGTTGCCACTAGAACATTATAAAGAAATTTATGAGATATAGAAATTTTAGCACCATCAAAGATGTGTAAATCTAACTTTTAATATATGAAAACAACATACCACCTATGAATCAGATGTACATGCATATGAATAAATAATTAGAAGAAACACTAAACAAATATTGAACATTTACACAGCATCAGAAGTGTCAATCAGCAGGACAACCGGCAACAGAGTTTAACACAGCCAACAGTTAAACAACAAGCGCCCAACACCTAAGACACATCACCTACCATTAGTTAACGCCTTCTAGGTATATGTTAGGTATGTTATTTACAAAACATTACTGATATCAATCAGCAAGATACACTTTGGAAAAGTAAATTAAATGATTATGAGTGCAACAGAGTAAACACTTCAAAATAATGTTGATCAAGTTGCGTTCATAGCTCTATGAATGCAATTTCTTCAGGTAATGCTTATAGAGGAACTTGCAGAGGAAACGTAAATATTATCTAACAATACATTATCTTACATAAACATATCTTATCTTATCATGTGTTCTTTATAACTTCACTTTATTTTGTTTTTATATGACTTTTATCTTACATTATTTCATGGCAAACCCTGCTCTTTATAGATCTTTATAGATCTGTGCAGTAACTGACCTTGTAGTCCCCGAGAGCTGCGTCATAGCCCCCTGATACTAACACCAGGTCTGGAGAAAACTAGGGCAAAAATAACACTAATCTATCAGTTCTTTTTCATAAATAATTGAATGTAAACAATTACTGCCGCAATGTATCAGCCTTTCGTTGTCACCAGAAGCATACATGCATTCGTGCCAGGTCCTCACCTAAAGGATGCAATATATGTTTACAGTACAGTATAATCTGTCTTGAGTGAGGCCTCATTTACCAACTAAGTCCAGGGCCTGTATTCATGAAACCATCCTCATGCTCAATTCAGATTCTGTGCTCAACCCAAATATCTGGTTTCAATGATAAATTAATGAAAGATAGAAAAGAACTTTAGGAAGACCTCATGTTGAAAACAGTTTTAGGTGTTTGATAAATGAATACAATTACCTTTCTGATTGCATCACCTGTTTTAATCGAGGCACAGGAAAATTGGCTTGAGCACAGAATTCAGCTTTGAGCATGAAAACGGTTCCATATATCAGGCCCAGAAGCTTAAGTATGATGTATTAATTATCATTTTGTCAATACATATAATACTGTAATATAATAATATACAACATTTATATAGCGCCCTATATCATTTATAAAATTACTCTAAAACGCTTTACAACATATGGATAATAGTATCAGTTATAATTGTGAAACAAAAACAAAGGCTTACAATAACTTTTATACAGTATAAGCAAGCAGATAATCATCGCAATGTGCACATAAATGAATAAATAAAGGGTGGTATTTACATGACGTCTTTGCAATGAGCCTAAAATGCAGACATGAACAGGTGAGTTTTGATGTCCTTCTTGAATTTGGCCAGGGTATTTGACTTTCTAATAGCAGATGGTACGCTATTCCACAACGTGGCCAAAACCCTTACAAATTATATAGGGCACTATATTGTCCTAGGAGGCTAGGCACCACAAATCTATCAACACAGAGAGCCGTTCGTTTCCAAACACCAACTTTGGAACAATTTTTCAATAGCTTTATGAAATAGCCTTCTTTTCCTGATATATAAAACGTACGAAAAATGAAATTATTTTTTGACAGAAATACAAGTGTACTGTTTAATTTTTTGAATGAGAAACCTGACTGATTGTTAACAAATATTCTGTAGTATCTTTACTGAAAGATACAAGAGACAAGAAAATCTGAGAACAGAACTAAGGGCTGCTTTCCTTTATCGTGATCCAAATGGTTGAACCGGTTGTACCACTTATTCTTTTATGAAATGAGGTCAGACCTAGTAATCTGATGGTGCTTTCAGGCGAGCCTTGACAAAGCCGTGCAAGGATTGCATAAACTTTTGCAGGTCCGCCAGGAATTAAACCTGAAAATGTTACATTTAAAAACAGACAAACCGGTTGTTTCACATAAATTAACAGCCCTAGTAGTACACTGTATTAAGAAAGTGTAAACCACTATCTGTTTCTGAATCCAGAAATTCAAAAGAGAGCTATCAACACAAGACAAATTACACTATACCTCTAAGTATGATTTTTTTCTAAAAGCTTTGAGAATATCAACCTGCTAAGGGAAACAATACGTGACACGGCAAACAAAAGCTGCAAACCCCAAACATGCTTGATATTAGCACCATAATTTCTTCTGAATATATTTTTATTCATGATCAATTTAGAAGATGATTCTGTTTCAACCAAAACCACATGCTTCTTTCGCTCTGTAAAATTATCTTTTTTCGATGCTGATTTTCTTTCTAATTTACAGGCCTAGACATTTAACAGCTGGCATGCATGAGATTAAGTTTGGAGTTTACAGCGCTGATAAGGATATTAGGAAGTAATAATAGCCCATGCCCCGGCATTCCTCCCGGTACCTCTGGACATCCAATGGCTGCATCGTAACCGCTGGACACCAAAACTAGGTCAGGGCTGAACTAAAAATAAAACAGAAATCCCCTGTGACAGCAACCAACACAATTCTACATTAAAATTGCACATTGAGTGGACATAGTTTAGTAAATATGAAACTGTATATCAGACAACAAGCATTTGGAAGTGGGCTTTTTTACAATTAACTGATATACATGATACTGTATACAAGGAAAATTTGGCCGCAGTTAAATTTTTGTAATGAGGGCGAATTTATCACGACAGTGAAAATAAGAAAACAATATACTAAACATAATAATAACATGTGAAGGGCGAATATGACACTGCATGAAAACGTATTCTACTAGTCAAGGGCGATAATAACACTGCACGAAAACGTATTCTCCTAGTCAAGGGCGAAAACGACACCGCACGAAAACGTATTCTCCTAGTCAAGGGCGAAAACGACACTGCACGAAAACGTATTCTCCTAGTCAAGGGCGAAAAACGACACTGCACGAAACAGATTCTTGTAGTCAAGGGCGAAAATAACACTGCACGAAACAGATTCTCCTAGTCAAGGGCGAAAATAACACTGCACGAAACAGATTCTCCTAGTCAAGGGCGAAAATAACACTGCACAAAAACAAATTCTCCTAGTCAAGGGCGAAAACGACACTGCACAAAAACAGATTCTCCTAGTCAAGAGCAAAAACGACACTGCACGAAAACAGATTCTCCTAGTCAAGGGCGAATATAACACTGCACGAAAACAGATTTTCCTAGTCAAGGGCGAAAAAGACACTGCACGAAAACAGATTCTCCTAGTCAAGGGCAAAAGTTTCCGGCCTGTATACAGTAAACAATGGAAACAAGTTTTGGTATATTACTTTGTACCAAAACATTTTATGACATTGTCAACATGTGAGACTGGTTCATAAATTTATTTGAGGTATAATAAAATTGAATGGATATAGATGTTTACAGCTCTATCGCAAATTCTATTTTGTAATACAAACATTTTATACTGTTGGTTTTTAATGACATTTGTGATTTAGAAAAGCTATCCACTTTGAATCAAACATCTATAAAGATACTACATCGATGATAAATGTCTCCACCTTGTCAGTCAAACAGATATTTGTGACACTAAATAAAACAGACATACCACTGAAAATGTTGCAATACATAAAATAACCCCATTCTAATACACATATCAGCTAAAATCACCGAAACATATGACAAATTTAAGATGCTTTTGTGAGTTTTCTTCAAATTTTTGGTCCTTCTGCTGTGGATTGGTGACGTCGTCAGGAACATTTAATGTGAGGTCAAATTACATTGACCTTTCAAGGTCTTGCTATTGTTCGGACATTATAATAATCAATTTCATGACAAAATGGGGTCAGTCAGGGTCAGATGGGGTCATTGACAATAACCATCAGGGCATCATATGCAAATGAGAAATTTGCGAAAGGTTTAATGTGTTTATGCCCTCGCAAATTATTTTGATTGACCAATCGAATGCCATGTTACATCTCAAATGAACCAAAATCATACTTAGACTGGGGAAATGTTTTTATTTTACTGTAATGATATTGATGCCTTTAAGAGACTGTGGATAATGTGCATGATAAGCGTTCACCAATTTTCACAGAATATATGATAAACCTTAACCCTTGGTTAAGACTACAGATTATGTATTTTCAACATTCGAAACTATTGACTTGTATGATTCAATATAAGGTAAGTAGAAGATTGAATTTTTAATATTAGTGGCTTCATTATTTCAAACCGATAAGGAAAACCTAATTGTTATTAATTTTGTATTAATGCTATATGCAATAATAAGTAATCAAATTTGATTTCATTTTGTTTCGCATTATTTCATTCCAAATGCACATTTAGTTTAAATTGATTTCAAAACTGTTACTGGTCAACCACCAGAGAAGAGAAAGATCCCATACATTCAATTTTATTAATTTCTGTTGCATTTGCAATATAAAATGTAACAGTTACACGTACATACCAAATATAAAATACAAACTACTACTGATAATGATTTGTTAAGCTGTGTTAACTGAAATCAAAATGGCAGACCACAATGTCCAGTTTGGGCTTATGACCTGTAAAACACATGATCACATCCGGAAATAGGCCCACCCCCTACTTTTGATGTGTTTCATGTACAGGTCCTTGGGCCTATCACCAGTATTTGAGATGACATTAGAATAACCATCTACAAATTAAAGCAGGCAAGGCTATACCAGAATCGATGACATTTTATGTAAATACCGTAACATGATTTAAATGAAAATAAATCTATTAAACGGATAACTCAATAGCAATGGTCTTGAAGGTTCATTAATTAAGAAACTTGTTTTTCTCCAACAAAAGAGGTTTAAAAATGTAATATTATTTGAACATTTTCAATCATAAATATCCTATAACCGTTAACAGCAGACCTCAATTGTCTGAAATTCAAAAAAAATCAACATGATATTGCTAAATAAAGAAGTCAAAATAAAAACCTACCTGATGAGCAATAGGCATTAGAATTTGATGGAATATGGCCAGGTAGTCTGTGTCCGTCATGTGGACCTGTGTAACAGAAACGCTTGCTGCTCTACACTGTGTCAGTACAGATACATATACAGTATATCTAAGATGTCCAGGTAAATTTCCTGGGTTAAAATGCAAGATCATATTTTCTTTTGGTATGAAAAGTGAATTAGGAGGTGGAGAATGGGGGTTTACTAAAAATCATAGCAAACTTAGTTTTTCTGAGATAATTTTTGTCTCAAGTCTCCTTACCATTAAGGAAAACCATTTTCTACAAACACCAATATGAATCAAACAAAAAATTGTGAATTAAATTGGGGTGTCGTCAAGCCTAAGTTTTAATAGATCTTATCTCTGTATCAATATAATTTGCTATTTTAATGTTTTACAAACCTTGTTAAGAGGTACATTGACATTGTACCCTTTGCCCTTGCCATCTCCAATAAAGTCGTAGTCAGATTCGCGAAGGTTAGGCCAATATTTCCCATATTCGTAACGATGAATGGAAAAGTAAAGAACTCTGAAATGGAGAAACAAAAGTATTTGGGAAAAAATCAAAAACTGCAGCAATCATAAATTTAAATTGATAAATTACAAGAAGTGAAGAACAGTATCAAAGTTAGTTGATTAACTGGGGTTTTGCATCTTCACACACAATGGTTACTTTAAAAATCTGCTTCGATGACTGAAATATCATAACCTTGGCATGGAAGCATAACGCCCCACCTGGTTATATTATTCTTATTATTCTGATGCCGGCTGATCAGGAATGTCTAGAAGAAAACTGCCTAAAGAAAGGAGAAGATAGGCGAGAAAAGAAAGGATAAAGGTACCAAATGTTGCATTATACAAATAGGGGCAGTTAGTAAACTTAGGTCTCCTGTGTCGGCAAGAACAGGTTAGAGAAGAATGCCCTTGATCATGCAGAAGGATCTGTATTAGTCAGTGATGCTTTAATATAATGCTTCTTTTGTTATTGTTTTATATTTTTATTTTTTAAGCATAATAAAATATTTAAGGATATAAATAATTACCTTGGGTCATCATAAAACATTTGCTGTGTTGCTTGACCGTGATGGACATCCCAGTCTACAATGAGCACCCTACAACACACAGAAGACTTTATCATTATACATCCCAGTCTACAACGAGCACCCTACAACACACAGAAAACTTTATCAGTATACATCCCAGTCTACAATTAGCACCCTACGACACACAGAAAACTTTATCATTATACATCCCATTCTACAATGAGCACCCTACAACACACAGACAACTTTCTCATTATACATCCCAGTCTATAATGAGCACCCTACAACACACAGACAACTTTATCGCTATACATCCCAGTCTACAGTGAGCACCCGACAAGACACAGAAAACTTTATCATTATACATCCCAGACTACAATGAGCACCCTACAACACACAGAAGACTTTATCATTATACATCCCAGTCTACAGTGAGCACCCGACAAGACACAGAAAACTTTATCATTATACATCCCAGTCTTCAATGAGCGCCCTACAACCCCCAGAAAACTTTATCATTATACATCCCAGTCTTCAATGAGCGCCCTACAACCCCCAGAAAACTTTATCATTATACATCCCAGTCTAAAATGAGCACCCTACAACACACAGAAACCTTTATCATTATACATCCCAGTCTACAATGAGCACCCGACAACACCAACACACAGAAAACTTTATCATTATAAATCCCAGTCTACAATGAGCCCCCTACAACACACAGAAAACTTTATCATTATACATCCCATTCTACAATGAGCACCCTACAACACACAGAAAAATTTATCATTATACATCCCAGTCTACAATTAGCACCCTACGACACACAGAAAACTTTATCATTATACATCGCAGTCTACAATGAGCACCCTACAACACACAGACAACTTTGTCATTATACATCCCAGTCTACAATGAGCACCCGACAACACCAACACACAGAAAACTTTATCATTATAAATCCCAGTCTACAATGAGCCCCCTACAACACACAGAAAACTTTGTCATTATACAGCCCAGTTTACAGTGAGCCCCCTACAACACACAGACAACTTTATCATTATTCATCCCAGTCTACAATGAGCACCCTGCAACACACAGACAACTTTATCATTATACATCCCAGCCTACAATGAGCGCCCTACAACACACAGAAAACTTTATCAGTATACATCCCAGTCTACAATGACTACTCTACAACACCCAGAAAACTTTATCATTATACATCCCAGTCCACAATGAGCACCCTACAACACCAACACACAGAAAACTTTATCATTATAAATCCCAGTCTACAATGAGCCCCCTACAACACACAGAAAACTTTATCATTATACCTCCCAGTCTACAATGAGCACCCTACAACACTCAGAAAACTTTATCATTATACATCCCAGTCCACAATGAGCACCCTACAACACCAACACACATAAAACTTTATCATTATACATCCCAGTCTACATTGAGCACCCTACAACACACAGACAACTTTGTCATTATACATCCCAGTCTACAATTAGCACCCTACGACACACAGAAAACTTTATCATTATACATCCCATTCTACAATGAGCACCCTACAACACACAGAAGACTTTATCATTATACATCCCAGTCTACAACGAGCACCCTACAACACACAGAAAACTTTATCAGTATACATCCCAGTCTACAATTAGCACCCTACGACACACAGAAAACTTTATCATTATACATCCTAGTCTACAATGAGCTCCCTACAACACACAGAAAACTTTATCATTATACCTCCCAGTCTACAATGAGCACCCTACAACACTCAGAAAACTTTATCATTATACATCCCAGTCTACATTGAGCACCCTACAACACACAGACAACTTTGTCATTATACATCCCAGTCTACAATTAGCACCCTACAAAACTTTATCATTATACATCCCAGTCTACAACGAGCACCCTACAACACACAGAAAACTTTATCAGTATACATCCCAGTCTACAATTAGCACCCTACAAAACTTTATCATTATACATCCCAGTCTAAAATGAGCACCCTACAACACACAGAAACCTTTATCATTATACATCCCAGTCTACAATGAGCATCCTACAACACACAGAAAACTTTGTCATTATACATCCCAGTCTACAATTAGCACCCTACGACACACAGAAAACTTTATCATTATACATCGCAGTCTACAATGAGCACCCTACAACACACAGCAAACTTTATCATTATACATCCCAGTCTATAATGAGCACCCTACAACACACAGAAAACTTAATCATTATACATCCCAGTCTACAATGAGCGCCCTACAACACACAGAAAACTTTATCAGTATACATCCCAGTCTACAATGACTACTCTACAACACCCAGAAAACTTTATCATTATACATCCCAGTCTCCAATGAGCACCCTACAACACACAGACAACTTTCTCATTATACATCCCAGTCTATAATGAGCACCCTACAACACACAGACAACTTTGTCATTATACATCCCAGTCTACAATTAGCACCCTACGACACACAGAAAACTTTATCATTATACATCCTAGTCTACAATGAGCTCCCTACAACACACAGAAAACTTTATCATTATACACCCCAGTCTACAATGAGCACCCTACAACACTCAGAAAACTTTATCATTATACATCCCAGTCTTCAATGAGCGCCCTACAACCCCCAGAAAACTTTATCATTATACATCCCAGTCTACGATGAGCACCCTACAACACACAGAAAACTTAATCATTATACATCCCAGTCTACAATGAGCATCCTACAACACACAGAAAACTTTGTCATTATACATCCCAGTCTACAATGAGCACCCTACAACACACAGAAAACTTTGTCATTATACATCCCAGTTTACAGTGAGCACCCTACAACACACAGACAACTTTATCATTATACATCCCACTCTACAATTAGCACCCTACAACACACAGAAAACTTTATCATTATACATCCCAGTCTACAATTAGCACCCTACAACACACAGAAAACTTTAGCATCATACATACCAGATATGATGAATTGACTTAGTAACGAAGTAAACACCATCAAATCAATTCTGTAGCCATTTGTTTCAACAGAACCTAAAGAGAATTGTGGTAAAAAAAATCAAAACAAGAGTAACACAGGGGCAGAATAATATACGCTCATCTAATGCCATGTGTTTCAAACTCAAGGTTATTCTGTTTCGTGAAGTTTCATCAGAATCATATATGGCTTTGCCATCTTGTCAATTTACATACGCTCAACTGTAGTCATCATCTGATATCCTGACCTAAATAGAAAACTATTTCTTAAATATACATGATTCATCTTCATTGCAGGTCGTTAAGTTTTATCTGAGGAAAAATCCATGTACTTTCTATCTGTATCAAAGTTTGTATTGTACATATTGAGGAGAAATGAAATAAAAACGGAAACAAGCCATTCAGATTGATATGCCTCGCCTGTGCCCTGCTTTGATCATCAATGCACATATCAGAAAAACTAACTTAAATGCAAAAACTTCATGTTGATGGAGATGCTGACATAGTCAATAGACCATGAAAGGTAGGCCGCATCCAGCATTTGATGCATGGGTTGAGATGTACTACCTAAGATGCATCTATAGTCCAAGTTTGATTGGTCTAGCACTTATACTTTCAGTGAAACTAAGTTAAACGCAAAAAACTTAATGTTGACACCGCCGCGGTCACCAGAAAAGCAACACCTTAGTCTCGCTTCCGCTACTTCGCTGCGGCGAGACAAAAATAAGGTAAAATTTAGTACCGTACCTTTTGAGTCCTAAAGTGTCCACTGCATGCTTGGCAGCAATGGCCACTTGGTTGAAGAAACAGTAGCCACAGAATTCTTCATTCATGGCATGATGGCCCGGAGGTCTGAACAAGAAAACAAAAACTTTGTGATATATATACCATAAACACAAAATGTGTACAGTATCTGTGACTGTTTAAGGTTAATCCTACGACTATAACTCTATCTTACGTCAGTCTCTTGGTTGTTGTGAAATTGTTGTATACATGATCTCCTGGCTATGATATATACTGGCCTGTCTAGATACTTCTGTACTATGAGGAAGTTGATACCAGTTGTAATCCTGGGCCCGTATTCATTAAGCCGTTCTCATGCTCAAGCATGGATTTGGCGCTCAAACCAATTTTCTTGTAACCTGCTTTAATCATGTGACACTGTCAGATAGTCATGTGACACTGTCAGATAGTCATGTGACTCTGTCAGATAGTCATGTGACAATGTCAGATGGTCATGTGACACTGTCAGATAGTCTAGTATTTTGGCAGGTTACAATAGCATGCGGCTCAAAGTCTCTCCTAAATTCTTAAACAAGAGGCCCATAGGGCCTGTATCGCTCACCTGGATTATCTAAGCAATCATGACAGAATATTCTCCAAATGAGATCCATGGGAATATGCCAGACCCCAAGGCCAATCCTTGTAGCATATATATCTGTATTCGATTTTTCATGCCCAGCAATTTTATGTATCGTTATGGGGTGGGGATCTCAACTGTTTCCAATCTGTGACTCAGAAACTAGGTCCCTATGGTTGTGGCCAGACCCCAGGATCAATTCTAATATCATGACTGCATTTGTCTCTTT